AAAAAAAAAGAAACAAAGAAGAGAAAATAAATAGACAAGGATATATTCAATATCATCAAGATTTATGGACCTGTGGTTTTCCCTGCTCCCAGATACTCTAGTTGAATGAAAGAAGGTGCTGCTGCTTCTGTCAGAATGAGTGGGAGTGGCCGAAAACGCAGTTCAAAATGGGATTTGAAAGAAGGGTCTCGAATTTCATTTGAAGATGTGGAAGACAATACTTGGCCTGGGAAAGCAGGAATATCTTTTCATGACAAAGAATCACGACGTGATTGGCTCCCACCTGAAGCTGCTGGTGGCACTCGCTCCAAGTGGTCAGCAATGGAACCGTTGCCTGGAAGAAGAAGCTCTCGCAGAGATGATAATATTGATGAAGACCGTAGCAGAACTTTGAAAGCTACTTATGAAGATGAGAGTTATGGAACTAGAATGTCTCCTGGTCTCGATGAATGGAGACAGAAAAGTTTTCGAAACTCTCCCAAGAATGAATATAAAAGAACAAGAAGGTTTGATTATCTGCTCAGCACCCTTTCTGATACAGCTATTTGCATTCTTGTCATTGTCCTGTTTTTCAGTCAACTCTTGCTATATCTATCTGGTGCCTAGCCGCAATGGAACCTGCATACGATGCAATAGTAATGACAGTCTTCAAATAACTTCTATATCACGAAAGAGTCAAGAATCACATGCTTTAAGTTCTGTAGACTCTTTGACTGGACATGCAATGCTATACTGGCTGCTTGAAATTTTGGATTTCTTCTAGTTACTGCAAATTTTCTTGTTAGTTTATGTGTTTTGGTGTTTCTGTTTCATGCTTTTCATGTACCAGGTGCTCTTCACAATATGTAACGAGTCCGTTACCTGTTAGAAACTGCTTTACCTCAATCAACTCTGCACACAACATTTCTATTGGGCTCCTTGGTTTTTTACTGTCAAAGTTGATTAAGCTGGTTGGCATTGTTTGACTTGTCCTGTCCCTGATTTGTTTGCAAAAGCAGGAGCAGGAGCCGGAGCTGGAGCCGGAGCCTGAGCCCAGTCCATGGCTTTGGGCGAGAATCAGGAGCGCATGAAAGAACTAGAAGCATATCAGGTGTATCAGCTCAATTATGTAAGGATTTTGTTTCTGGGAGATGCAGGAGAGGCAGTCATTGCCCGTTTCTTCACCAAGATACTGAGACATGTGAGGATGACTGGGAAAGAAGACCCAGGAAAGCTGCAGCTTCCAAATACCCAGGAAAGCAGTACCCAGTGGGGAGTGGAAGATCTGCTGATTGCTGTAATGAGTTTCTAAAAGGAAGCTGTAGAAGGGGTGAATCCTGCAGGTATGCTCATCATGGTGCTTCTGATCCATCTAGTAGGGGGTCCGCAAATGATGGTATTAGAGAAAGAGATAATGACCGAAGGCATAGATATGCATCTCCAGAGAGACGTGCTGAGCGTGAAACCCGCAGAGCAGCTGACATTCCCTGCAAATTTTTTGCTGCAGGTAATTGCCGGAATGGAAAATATTGCAGGTTTTCTCATAATGATCAGACACCAAGTCCTGAAAAAAGATCACGAGATGGTAGGTGGCCACCAAGCCAAAACTCAGATGATTTGGAAAAATCATGGAATGATCCAAAATGGAGTGAGTGTCATACTTCAGATGCAGCAAAATTGAGTGAAAATAAAAATGAAAAATTGGATGCACCTGAACTGAGGCTCTCTGTACGGTGTATGGAGGATGAATGGGGCCATAATTTGGTCGAGAACAAGACACACAATAATCCTCCAGCTAATGAAGTGGCTGAGAATGACAAAAAGGAAGCCCTCCCATTGAAGACAGAAAATGCTGGTGATAACCCTAACGTATCTGAACAGAGAGCTCCTGAGAATTGGCTTGGTGATATGGAAATGTCTCCTGATTGGAACTACAAACTGCAACCTCCCAACCATATCAACAAAGGAGACCATGCTTCTTTATCCAGTTGTGAACTGCAGGATGCTTCAGGCCGGGCACGTGATGCCCCTGCAATCATGCCACCAATTTCAAATGAAACATCTTCCATTCAACAGGGATACAATTTAAAGGAGATTGGTGGTAGTGCTTTGCCACATGATGATGGTGTTACCGGAAAAACCGCCGGTTCTTACATTAACATTTCTTCGAATGCTCTTGCAACACAAAGCTTCAATAAAAATGGCCTGAGTTCAATTGCTTCACCTATTCCAAACTTGAATGCTGTTGGACAAATTCAAGAAGCAATCTTGACCAACCCTCCAAGAGGAGGGACAATGATGGCTCCTCAAAATCAGACACTGGTTCAGGACAGAAAAATGATCAACATTCCGGATATTGGGAATGTAAATGCACCACTTGTGAATTTGGGAATTCCAATGGCTCAAAACATGGCTAGTAATGAACATTTGACTCAGCTTACCAGCCTTTCTGTCTCTCTGGCCCAGTTCCTTGCGAATGGACAGCAACTTCCACAACTTTATGCTGCTTGTAATTCGCATAATGGCACCTTTGCCAACTCAGAGGGCACTGTCAAACCAGATTCTATGGTGACCATTCAGTCAAATCAAGCTGTTGAGCCCCGGAAGCAATATGATCCTATATGTGACAGCGTGGAGCCTGGGAAGCATCATGTCAATACTAATCCTCCAGATCAAAAACTAGAATTACTATCCAAAAACTTGTCCCCTTCATCCCTTTCTGCTGGACTGATTGGTGGTGATTTTAACAAGTTTCACTCTGAGCAAGAGTTCATTGATAAGAGCTCCCAATTAAATCAGCCGGGTTCAGGTGTGAGTTCTGAAGCTAACAAGGAAAACAATGGAGTGGGGTCTGAGGAAAGCAATAAAGTACAAGAGCAGGATAAGAGCGCACAAGAGAATGGTCCCTTGGAGAACAGTGATGGTGATGGCAAAGCTGATGAGAGCAAGAAAAATAAGGATGCAAAGGGAAATCGTGCATTTAAGTTTGCGCTGGTGGAGTTCGTTAAGGATCTACTGAAACCTGCATGGAAGGAAGGTCAAATGAGTAAAGACGCTTACAAGAACATTGTTAAGAGAGTGGTTGACAAAGTTACTGGAACTATGCAGAGTGCAAGTATTCCTACAACACAAGAAAAAATTGAACAATACCTGTCGGTTTCAAAACCAAAGCTGACCAAACTTGTACAGGTGAGTGCTGGTGTGCTTATTCGCGTTGTATTTGATTTTGAAAGGGATGTGAATTTGATTACAAAATCAGGGCTCTTTTCTTACCTGAATTCTCCTAGTGCTTCTCAGACCTCTTGGTGCAAATTTATGATGCTGGTGGGGCAAAAAGCTGTTTCATTTTACTATATTTTTTGCAGACTTTCTTCGTGATTTTGTTATTGTATTTATTTATTCACTGATCTTGTTGCAGGCATATGTGGAGAAATTTCAGAAGGACAAATGAAAGAACAGCTGATGTTTTCTATTCATTTTTTGCTGTCATATAGCAAGCTGTTTATTTTGCGCTTATGATTCTGCTATGGTAAGGCAGCTTCTAGAATGAAATATTCTTCTTAACCTGTTTTTTACTGGTTGAAATCAAGGTTAGCTAAACCTTAACTCTTACATGCAGAATATCTCTCTGTTTGAAATTTTAAAATGCCTCATACATGGAAGTTTACCATGTGGATTTACCTGCAGATTCTAAGATGCCACCTGATCCAGGGCATTTTATGCCGTTATCTGAGTACGGTGCAACTGTTGTCACCTGAGAGGAATTGCATGAGCTTTTTTATTCATAGCAAATCGTCCTAAAATCTTGGCTTTTAGCATCCTCATCATCTGCAGTGTGTTTTGACACTTTACCTTGTCAAGTTTGGCTTCACAGCAATGACATCAAGTTCTTGCTGCTCATTATTTGTGTGCCTAACCGCTTCCTTCCGTCCTCTTCCTTACGTCCATATTTACCACTGTACATTCAGAATTCGCACTGCATCGTTTTCCTGGAAAAAGGTTCTCAGTTTTGATCGGCATGTCATATTTCGATTAAGGTTCATTTCGTAATCTGCATTACACGAGGCGGGAAAGAGCAAATCTCAGAAACCTGTACTGGGAATTCTAAAAACTGACCGGTTTTGGTTTTTTAATCTTCCTGCAAAATCTGTTTTCTTTGTTTTTGGCTAGAGATTCATGTACTAAAAATAAAATAAAATTTGAAAGCATGCCCAGCAAATCTAATTTAAGACAGATTTCTATTGAAAAGTTTGCAGTCAATGGCCCCATATCAAGGTAGCTAAGCCAAGAACAGACGAGGGAACAAAAAATTAAATTCAAGAGGATATTTTAACAATGATTTTATAAATGGAGCCTTCGAGTGTTGTTTTCTATACAAATATTTTTAACAGTGTATTAAGCCTTAAGAGAAACCGTCAGAATGAAGTGGATTGGACCGGTATGGTATTTTTGCTTTTGTTCTTATTCAAGAACCAAAATATATTTGTCAAGTTACGCAAATCAGTATCCTTTACACTTGATATAAATAGTTTTCCTTCATCTGAAATGTTCTCCATTTTTCTTGACATGAGGTGTGCATAGCGTGTATATAATTTTACTTTTTTTTCTTTAATTAACGTGGATTAATGGAGGGACCCAAATTTTGAGATCTCACCTCCCTGCACAAGTTCATTGATCACTTGAATTTTGCCAATCCCCTGCAGCAAGTATAAATTAGTAAGATGCAAAAATCGAAAGACTAATAACACTGGTTTAATGCAGGATTTTTTCTTATATATATTAGAAAGATTTGGCAAGGTAAAGTTAGAGAAAAAAAAGGAAATTCTTCTGTAGAATATTTTTCCATTGTGCTCGATTAAGAGTATGAACATGGGAATTATTAATAATTAAATATTTCCTCTTCTTGTATCACAAGGATTTCTTTTTTTGAAAAACAAAATTCTACAAGCAAATCAATGAAGAGTTTGAAAAAGACCACGCACCAAGCAGACAATGCAGTAGTTGATTATAATCAAAGGATATATAACAATTGTTTGCAAAATCATTGCTCGTATTGCCTCATTTCTTTCAAAAATGAAAATATCATTCGATAAAATTTAAAGGAGAGAATTCACTTGCTGGGTATGAACCATTAAATTTGAACAAAATTGAGTTACAAGAACAGGAATATTCATTTACTTTCTCAAATAATCATTACCGAAATGGATCAAATCCTTTTTCTACCCTACAAAAGCTTCAACCGCTGAATTGCAACTCCATTTCGAGCGGCAGAATTGTGTCCCCATCTTCCTAGGCGAGGTTCCTGAAGCAAAAGTAATTTGAAGCGTTACAAGATTGTCTAATCAAACATCACAAACATGGTAAAGAAAAAAACTAAAAAAAAAACAAGAACGATCTTTAGTCTATTTTTCTTCGAATGCAAACAAATTACCTGTCCAACCCCAGCGAGAAGGAATTTTCCAGATTTTGCAAAAGCCAAGGAATTTACAAATCCAATCTGCATTACACAATAGGTTGGTAAGCAATGAATTGCACAGTGGCTGAACTTAACATTTGTAACTGGAGAGCAGAGGAGAGCAGAGAACAGAAAAAGTGGAAAGCAGTGCTGGCGGGTAGAAGGTGAACAAATATAAATCCAATAATTCCATTTCATAAACATTAAAAAACGAGGCATAAATTTTTTAGTATCTTTATCAATGTCTTCCAATCACAAGCTAAACAGCAGTTATAATCATGAGAGATGATTACTAACATATATCTCAGCTAATTCAGCATAGTTCCATGTCATTACTAACATAACCAAAGAGTAATCAAACATGTTATTCAGTTGCATAGTGCAGGGCTCACTCACCAATGGAAGATCATACAAGGACCGAATGCCTTTGCCAGCACCTTCAATAGCCCATAAGTGGACAGAGCCATTCCCAGCTCCGGAGGCAGCAAGGTCACTGCCTCTACATACACCAACTGAACTTACCCAGGAAGATGCTGCATAACAACAATAGTTTCCAGGTCAGTAGTGGACAAATCAATCTGAAAATTCTAAGCAGATAGACAAACAGCAAGATTTAATTAGCACAGGTTAGGTGTTCATCCACCAAACACAATGCAACCTAAGAAATCAGGTAGTGACACCAAATAATATTTCAAATCAACAGTCATATTCTATTTTCCCCAAAGAAACAGTGAAAGGACAGCTAGGAGTTTCATTTGTTTACCAATATGACCATTGTAATTTCTTCCTCTATCCTTCAGTTCACCATTATTGACATCAGTCGACAAAGCATGTGCATTCTTAACAATGTACACAGGCTTCTTCTTTTGTATGCCCCAAAGTGCAATATTTCCATCATCTGATCCAGATAGAAATTCGCTGTTGTCAATAAAACAGCAACACTCCAAAGATGATGTAGAAGAACGAAATATCAGCCTTGACTCATCATGGACCTATTCACAGAATATGAAAAAGGTAAGTACAATTGAAAAAATACATGAAACAAGAGCATATACAAAAATTCATGCCATCTCATAAATTTAGTAAAATGAAATTGGAGAATTTGAATAGGTGTGCCATAACTTCAAAAGAAAGAGTCCTTGCAAATTAATTTTCAGACATAAATTTAGCTTTGTGCAACCAGTAAGGCCTTCTTTAATGCGGGTCAAGTGAACGTCAAAACATTATTTTATATACCTTAAACAATTGCATGCTCCGATCACGCCCAACAGCCAGCACTCGTTCTTGCCACAAACAATCGATCGCTAGCACTTCACTTTGGTGACCAAACAATGTGTTCATGTAAGCTCTATCTTCTACATTCCATATCTTGATCGATCGATCAAATGAACCAGAAAAAAGTTCTGAACTCCCTTGCCTAAAAGTCAAACATGAGACAGGACCTTTATGACCTGGAAAGGCCTGTAAAATACATAATAACGGAACATAGCAAGTGAGAGACAGCAGAAAGCTCAGCAATTTATAATGCATTCAGAAGATAAGCACACAGGTGAAAAGAGATGCTTTTATGAAATCAAAATCCACTCTATGGTGCATATCTAATCAAAGTCAATCATGCATGCATGCATATGTATATGGCTTTGAAGATTTATCTGAGTGAAACATTTTCTTGATGTTCCTCAAGATGGATGATTTTTGGGGTGTCTGCGGGTGGACTTTTTCTCAGATTGAGAAGAAGTGGGATTTAACTTTTTTTCATTTCCAAAGTGACAATGCTCCTACACG